TTAACCGCATCAGTACTTGGGCACAATTTTATGGTCTCTCAGTTAATCCAAGCAAATCACAGGCAATCATCATAGGGAGTAGGTATATGTCTAACTCCTACCGTTCCTTTCACTTGCCGCCAGTATCCATAGGTGGAATCAATATCCCTTATAGTGATACGGTGAAAAATCTCGGTGTCACAATTGATTCCAACCTCTCATGGGCAGCTCACGTCGCTAATGTTAGTCGTAAAATGTATTTTTCGCTTCACACATTAAAATGTTTGCAAAATTTCCTTCCCTTACATACTAAAATTGCCCTTGCACAATCTCTTATTCTTCCACTTCTCGACTATGCCGATACTTGTTATTTAGACGCTACGGAGGTATTACTTAATAAACTTGAGCGCCTGCAGAATCTTGCTATCCGATTTATCTTTGGGCTTCGTAAGTATGATCACGTCTCCAACTTTCGAAAGGACCTCAAGTGGCTCCCCATACGTCTGCGCAGGAATGTCAGAATTCTTTGTCTCCTCTTCAATATCCTATATAATCCTTCATATCCTTCCTATTTTCGGGAGCGGTTTTCTTTCACCCACTCGCCTAATGTTCCTTGCAGGTCCCATCTCAAAACACTACTCAAATGTCCTGTGCATAAAACCCAATTTGCATCATGCTCCTTTACGGTACATGCCGTCCGCTTGTGGAACTCGCTGCCAGCAGGAATCAGAGACAGCCCAACTGTTGCTACATTCAAAAGACGGTTGAAGGAACACTATCTATCCTCTTGAATCACTGTTTCTGAACTCTATTGCTTCTCCTTTTTAACACTTATATATTTTATTTAAGTATATATGTTTATTTATACATCTATATAGATATATATGTAGGTTTTGTTTATGTAAGTATTGTATTTTGTTATTTATATTCAGGAGGCACACACTGACGGCTTTTTTTTTATGTTCTTTCCTTTCGCGGGCCTGCTGGAAGAAATTTCAATATGAAATAAGCAGTGCCCTTGTACAAATTTCTTGTTCTATTTATCTGTTTTATTGTGTGTGTACTAAATTAGTAAATAAATAAATAAATAAATAAAAATCTTCAATTAATTTTCAGGAGACAGTGGTTATCCATTAAGAACTACTATGATGGTACCACTATCAAACCCTCAACCAAATTCTCCTGAGGAACACTATCAAAAACTACATTTAAGTGCGAGAAACACTGTTGAGCGTTGTATAGGAGTTCTAAAAGCCCGTTTCAGGTATTCTATAACTAAAATAATCACTGTCAATTTAATGGCAATAAAAAACTATTTATGGGGTCATGCTGTCTTAAAGGGTTAGCAGCGCATCAAGGTGTAAGCGATCCAAGACAGATAATGGTGGCTTGATAATAAAATTACCTGCCAGAACTGCATGAATAATATAATAGATATACAATATACATATTACATGGTAGGGATGTCGAAAGTTGAAAAAAATATCGATATTGAAAAAAATATCAATATCGGCTTCGATATATCGCGAAAAAAACATCGATATATCGGAGCAATTTTCCCAAAAATATTTTTAGGTCAGCGTAGCACAGTAATAATAACAATACAAACTATTAGTAAAGAAAGAATTATCAAAGTGCCAAATTGCCGCTACACTACATGACAGTACAGTATCTCACGAAAGATGACACGCGGAATAATAATGGAACGAAAATTATCTCCCTAAAAATAGACCCTATTTTCGAATGATGAAAATGATTGCAGGGCCTCTCAGGTGCCATCTTTAGTAAACAAGACTAGACAGTCACACACTTCCACAGAATATAATGGAATTCAACACAACCAATTCACCAGCGACAGATTTACAAATCGTAGACAATACTAAATACAGAACAGATCATAGATATGTTGAATATCATAAATCTGAGATCCAGTTACGATTTTCCAGATACGAATTAAGTTAAATCGTGATATGCCGCTAATAATTAAAAAAGTATCGTTTTTGATACGAATTTCGATATTGGTTATTTTGTATCGATGTATCGATATATCGAATCAAAATATATCGGCTAAAAATATCGATATATCGAACAAAAAATATCGATATATCGATATATTTTCAACAAGCCTATTACATGGAGTAAGTGTGCCAACCAACTAGCATTTATACTGTATGTAGTGGGTACTAGGGCTCTCAATACCGGTATTCCGGGATCCCGGAATACCGTAATCACGGTTATTTTATTGATATTTTTCAATACCGGTATTGATCACTCAATACCGTGATTTTACGGTATTACAAATCAACAATTCTTTATTAGGGTTATATGAATAGAAAGACGAAATGTTAAGCATGAACGCGAGTGAGATAAACTGAGGAGCTGGCGCACAAAACGGTATAATTACATATATGCTTTTCACCATATAATACTTATTAAAAGCTGATATTGCTTTAAAATTTATGTTAACAAAATTAGATGGACAGGCTAATGAGATGAGCCAAAACCTTGCAAAGGCACTTCGAAAACGTATAAAAGAGCGACGTTTCTCCATATATCTGGAGTGTTACAATACTTTCATGACCCTGAAGCCTATTTAAGTGCTAATGATAGCGAAGATGACATTTTCAAAAAACTAACATCTGATGAATTGCTTAAAATTATCGTTAATTTACTGACTCGTTTGAAATACAAAATAAACAACTGAATACCGCAGCAGTTATTGAGATGGTTGCTAGTGTTGCTACAGAAGAACCTTCTACTTCATCGTCATCGTTAAATACAAGTGTTGAAGATGACGATGCGTCCACCCCGAAACAGTTGGAGAGGGAAATATCCAAATTACCTAAAAGTACAACTGCAACTACAGGCACTGATTTTGAATCAATAATAAGAGTGTGTGTCTTCGAAACCAGTGGGGGCGGTCGAGAAATATTTTTATCTGCAGCTTACAAATATTTACTATCTGTAGTACCTACAAGTGTAGACGCTGAGCGAGCTTTTTCTTCGGTCAGCTATTTATGCAACAAATTGAGAAGTTCGCTATCTGATAAATCATTAAACGCTCTGTCCTTTTTAAGATCACATTTTCAGCTGCAAAAAATGCCCAAATCTTAAGATGATATTGATTACAGTTATAATTTTTATTATTTTTAAAGCATGTAACTGCTTGATGTTTAAATCTAAAGAAAATATAACTAGAAAAAAATCCACGCGGACCAGGCAGCAGACGGGACTCGAACCGGGACGGGAATCGATAATTGGTCAGTGCATTCGCCCGGATTGCGAAGGGTGCGGGTTCGAGTCCCGTCTGCTGCCTGGTCCGCGTGGATTTTTTTCTAGTTATATTTTCTTGATATTGATTATGTTTATCGTTTTATTTTCGATTCTTTTGAATATTGTTATTTAGTATTGTTTGATTAGTAAATATATAAATAGTACAAAGTAAATGAATAGATGATTGTTAAGTAATTTACCTATTTTTTTTTAATGTTGTTTGCCATGCGAATTTTAATTATTGGGACGGCATTTTTGTTGTATTTTTTTCTTTATTTCAATAGTATATCTTTTGTTTAATAACAAAATTATGGATCTCAAATTCCTAGTTCCGCCGAACTATTTATTAATAAAAGACTACCCGGGAAGGGTAGAAAAAATAATGTATATTTAATATTTTGTTAGCCTGTTTTTCATGTAGGTACCTATGTAACAGAAATAAACACTGATTAGAAATTAAACGGGCGTTTTAATATTCTTTGATTTGAAGTTCATATTCAATACCGTGATCACGGTATTGAACATACTAATACCGGTATCGAAAAATCCGGTATTTGAAAGCCCTAGTGGGTACTGAGTTGGTAATCGTACAACAAACTGCTGAAACTAAACTGTTTTTAAAAGAATTAAAAAAACCAGTTCAGTTCGACCTGTATGTAAGTTTGTCCTTGATTATTTAAAAAACTACTAATCCTATTTGAATGGGGTTTTCGCTATATATATGCGTATTTATCAGGGAAGATTTTAGTATATAATATACTAGCAGTGTCCCAAATATCAACCTATAGCATATTCTGTAATACACTAAATATAGAAAAATAAATATTGTTTTAAACTTTCATGGCCACTAATCGGAAACTTGCTAAAAACAAGGTACATTGCAACAAACCCAAACTTAGTATAAATTATTATATTACTATAAAGTAATTTTTAATAAAAATAGAACAAAGTTCAAAAAATAAACATAGATTGACTGACTCTTATATTTGAAATAGATACTATTATCATGATCACCCTTCTAAACATGGCTTGACATCAACTTCAAATATATCAAATCTTATTATTTCATTTTCAGTTTTAAGGAGTTGGGTCTTTAACAGACTTTAAAAAAAATATTCTTAAACAAATTTACCTACTAAACCCAACCATCCGACACAGATGTGACTTGTAATTTTTATTATCATATCTTACATCCCTACATTACTAACATCCGGCAATGAATTAGCATAAGGAGTTTTAACTGTATATTTTTTACAGGTGCCTTTTGGTTGATAGGAAGCTACATTATTCTCCAGGTGTTGCTGCAAGAATTGCAAATGCATGCTGTGTTTTACACAATATAGCACATGGAGAAAATATATCGTTCTCTCCCCTTACTGCCGAAGAAGCAACTCTGAGCGCAGACTGACTCAGCATGCAAGTGTGAGAGAATCTCATATAAGACATGCTTATTCCGTGACAGACCTAGAATTAGGCCGTGCGCGCCAAGAGGCTCTCATAAACCGCTTGTGGTTAGACAGGGCTGTCAATTAAGAAAAACATTTTTTTTTTATATGTTTTATTAAAAATTATAACAAAATAAAATCATCTTTTAATGAACCCATATTAATTTACTCCTGGCAAAATTTGCGTCCCATCCTGTCAATGCTCTCAGCAATTAATTTGAACGAATCACCCAACACCTTCAGCGCTTCTGCATTTCTTAAAGAGGCATTGGCTTTTATTGTTTCTCTTTACCTCTATTGTACGTCTCTCAGTAAGCAGGGTAGGTGATGGCACTTGCCCTGTCAGGCTAGGTGAAGGCGACAAGATCATTTGGTCTTGATTTATTGTAGGTGAAATATTTACCGGTTCTTCTGCCACTTCTACTTCACCCACAACATTTTCTGCCGCAATGCATCACCTCTTCATTAATCACCATAATGTCCCCCAATTGGTCCTGGCTAACACAGGGCAGAGGCCCCACAGTCCTACCTAAAATGTTGGCTATTTTTTCTTCGATGGCCGTTAAAGTGGGTGCAATATTCAGGCCGCCTCCTGTTCCTCTATTATTAGCGTTTATATTTACTAATTTTGCGCGCACTTTACATTTTTGGTCGTTCCAAACTTTGGACCACTCCTTGGCAGTCCTTGCAGGCCCTTCCGCATTTAAAATTTCGTAACCTTCCCTCCAAAGTCTTGATGCAACGGAACGAGCTTCTTTTGACCGTACCCTACCAAGAGCGAGATCTTTGTGGGCTTCGAGATATTCCACTAGGAGTTCTAGCTGGCGGACAGTCGTGATACGGCGGCGCTCTTCCATTTCCTCTTCGAATAAACTACTAATAATTTTTGTGTACACAAAGAAATTCCGGACTTTTCAGTTGACTGACAGCAACTCAACAATAGTAGTAATATTACTTAGTCGAGCTCTGATTGGTGTCGATTCTGGCGTGATTTTCTAAACTTAAAACTAAATTTAATATCAGTCTTTCCTTTTCATTCTGTGTAGAGAATGACAAGGATATACTGTTGTCAAATTTAAGTTTAGGTTTAGAGAATCATGCCAGATCGATACCATTGTTTACTCCAATAGTGAGTATCACACGTATCATTTGAAATACTATGGGACATCTCTAGAATTCCTAACACATCTTCGTCCCAGCTTTGTTTGCAGTTCAGTTAACAGATGATAATTAGCGCGATACCGATTTCGTATAAAGTTGAGTTGAAATTGGAATTGGACTAAGATTGAAACTTAATTGAACTTAAGCGGATCGTTCAAAATATTAAATAGCGCGATTAGCCTGCTGGTCGGTCAAACTGACCCATACCGGATACTGTATGCCTTGTAATTTTAACTTTTTGACAATCAAGACATGCCCGAGCCCATTTTGCTACCTCGCGATCCATATCTGGCCAAAAGAACTTTTGTTTGATTAAATTTTTCGTAGTTTTAATACCAGGATGACTAAGATCATGCACTGAATGAAATGCTAACTGCCTATAATGTTTGGGTAAATAAGGTCTAATTTTGCTAGTTGAGATTTCGCAGTAAACAGATTTTTCACAGTGCGGCAAATAAAACTGCTTAAACTGCAAGTTGCTATTTAACACTTTTTACGCTTGTTGTAGGTATTCATTATTAGCTTGTTCTATTGCAATTTCTGTATAATCTAAAACTGTGGAACAATGTACTGTTTCTACGCGAGATAAAGCGTCGGCCACTACATTTTGTGTTCCAGTAATATATAGAATATCGGTGGTAAATTCACTGATGTACGAAAGATGTCGTTTCCGTCTCGGACTTTCCTTATCAGTACTAACTTTAGAAAATGCATACACAAGTGGCTTATGATCAGTGAAAATTGTAAGAATATGACCTTCCAATAAATTATTAAAATATCTGACGGCCATATAAACTGCTAACAATTCCCTGTCATAAGTTGAGTATTTAATTTCGGTCTGAGATAACTTTTTTGAGAAATAGCCAAGTGGTTGCCAAATATTATTTACCTTTTGCTGTAATACTGCAACGACACTAGTATTTGAGGCGTCGGTCATGAACGCTAAGTACGCATCTGGTAATGGATAATGAAGCGTAACGGCGTTTGATAAGCTCTCCTTACACTTTATAAATGCCGCGTTGGCCTTATCGGTCCATTCTATAAGAGATTTTTCGTTCTTCTTAGCGTTATGTAAATAAACATTTAGTTCAGACTGATAATCGGCCGCCTTTGGAATATGAGGACGGTAAAAATTCAACACACCTAGGAACCTTCGTAGCTGTTCGACGATTTCGGGTTTTGGATATTTGCGGATTGCCTGAACTTTATTGTCAAGTGGACGTAGTCATGATGACGTCATCAAAAGAAACAAATAAAAAATCAAGCCCTTGTAACACGACATTGTCCATAAACCTTTGGAATGTTTGACCTGCGTTACGTAACCCGTAGGTCATGCGCGTAAATTCAAACAATCCAAACGGAGTTATAATCGCCGTCTTCTCAATATCTTCCTTATTTACAGGAATAAAATGGTATGCCCTATTTAAATCCATCCGGGTAAATATCTTTTTATACCTGCTAATACATATTTAAAATCCTGCATCCTAGGAATAGGGTAACGGTCAGGTTTTGTCACGGTGTTCAATCTACGGTAGTCCCCACAAGGACGAATATCTCCGTTCTTTTTTGGTACTACATGTAAAGGGCTTGCCCATGCGCTTTTAGATGGTCTACAAATACCTAGGTCTACCATAAGCTTAAATTCGTCCTTGACCCGTTTATACCTATCCGGAGGTAGAGGCCTAGCCTTCGCATAGACAGGGGAACCCGTTGTCTCGATATGATGACATACAGAATGCTTAGGAGTCTCCTTATAAGAAACAGGTTTAATCAAATCCGGGTAATCAAGTAACATCCGATGCCATACATTATTACAATCTATAGTTCTTATAGACTCACCGTTACTATTGTGTGCTACAACTGAAGCGAGAACGTTTAGATGGGTAACTTGATCTCTTAATTTCCGCGCGTGTAAATCAAGTAACAGCTTCTAGTGGTTCAAAAAATCTGCCCCAATTATTGGCTGTTACACATCTGCTATAATAAAAGTCCATCTAAATGCTCTATTTAAATTGAAATTTAAGATAAGGGTTCGCATACCATAGGTTCGAATTTTCGTTCCGTTTGCCGCGTAAAGCTTATAACTATCATTCGCGGTAGGTTATGACGCACACTTTTTTAACACAGGAATCACAGATACGTTGGCACCCGTGTGTATTAAAAACTTTAGTCCGGTATTTTTGTCATAAACACATAGGCGATTATTGTGTAATCCGATACTTGCCTCCGCCCCAGGCTGTATCGCATCTAGTTTTCCTGCGAAGAAGCAGACGGCTTCGCTCCCTTACAATTACAAGGATCGACGCATTTTAAGGCTTTAACACCATGGCGGTAATGATAGAAGCATAACCACTTTGGGTTCTTGCGGGACATGCTACCGTTGCGCTGACGTGATCCAGATCGCTTCGACTTGCCCCTTCCACTTGAACCTTCATTCCGATGAACTGACCTCGATCGCCGTAGTTCAGCTACTTCGATTTGGAGTTTGTTCACGATTCCCACCAACTCGCTGATGCTGCCAGAAGTCGAGCTACTTATCTGCGAAATTTCAGTTGGTCTAGTCGCTTCCGTGACCTTGTCTGCCACCGTTGCCAAACTCTCCAAGTCCTTGACCTCGGTGACAGCAAGAACAGCTTGTACTGTTGACGGCAAATGCCTAGTCTACATAATCTGAAGGGTGGAGTCGGGTATTTTATTTTTGCCAGGTCCCTCATGCGGCGGAGAAGCTGCGACGATTTTTGACTCCCTAGCTCCATCTCTCCTAACAGTTTTTGAAAATGCCGGGTTTCTGATTCTTCAAATACCTGTAAGAGTCTTTCTTTCAGGGCGTCGTATTTCTTATCGTGCGGCGGTACAGCAGTAGGCCGCTGACCTGCTGTATAGCATTTTTGCTAAGTTTTGTAACGACAAGGTTCTGCTTGGCCGCATCTCCGAGTTTTTGATTCTCTATAACGGCCTCAAATTGGACAAACCAGAGTCGCGGTTGATCTGCCCAGAAGTCCGGTACTCTCGACGCTGGTGCTTGCCAAAGCCACTGCGCCGTCCGCGCGGGCTTCTGATGACGCCTGCTCGCCCTGGACGGGCGGCGGGGTTTGAGCCGGTAACATAGACGCGGAAAGAATAGCTGTAGGTCCAGCATACATGTTTTTTTTTTTATGATTAATCACTTTTCCAATAAATAATATTGTTAAAAATATCGTACAATACACAGGTGACCACTGTACGGTTTATATTTATTGTATTAGTGATAATGTCCGTATTCAGAAGGATTTGGAAAATAAGGAAACACGTTTAAGTTTCAAGAGCTCTATTGCGACTAAGGTAAAAATATACAAATGTGGCAGGCGTAGCTGCCGACACATACTTATATATACGCAATACAATTTGGTGTAGTATGGCATGATGTACGGTATAGAATGACGTAGCTCAAATTCCACGACAACACTTTTCATTCGTAAAACTACAAAAATAATTCAAAAAACACGCTTTGTCATGAATGTCATTTACTTATTCGCCATTTGTTATCAAGAACAGAACCACAATACAGCTCAGCCGTTTGTAGAGAGAAAAAAGAAAACGCAGTCGGTTGCAAACGCGGTCTCTCCGTTTCGCTCGCGCTGCGTTTAAGCGTATTGTACGCCCTTAGCACGAACCAATATCGAATTCGTATCGTTTGCGAGTACGAAATGTCATTGTCAAATGTGTACTTTTTTTTTGACAATGTCATTTCGCACTCGCCAACTATTCGAATTCGATATTGGTTCGTGCTAAGACTACAGTTCTGTTACGCTCGCTCGACTGAATGTTTATTTACAGAAGTGTGCGTGCATGACAACTGCTTATGTAGTTGAGTCGGAGCATATTTTTTTTTAATGCTAGTATGAGCGTTCCGTATCTTCCCTTTAACTCGCACCCGACTACTTAGCAACTATAGCCCAGTATATTATTAAAGCCTAGTACCGACTGTTTTACCACAAAGGTTCCACTCGTCCTCATTTTCATTTAGAAACTTAAAATTATACCGTGAGCCACATAAATTACGGTTACTTTACAGACTACGACGCGAGCAAAAAGGAGGTCTTATGATTTTGTAGGATGTGTCATGGACAGAACTCACATAATTACAAAATGATTTCACACATCTTAATTATGTAAGTGTGTTTAATGTTCAGGTGTTCGCACGTTACTTGTAAGCTAAATACTCATCATAATTTAGGGTATTATCGTTTGGTATCGTTTGAATCTTTATCATCCGTTTGTCATAGGCTATACCTAGTTTAAACGTAAGATCTTCAGGTAAGCGTATTTTCAAAATTTCATACTATTTAGAACGTGAATATTTCTAAGCTAAGTACTCATCATAATTTCACAAACGGGGTATCGTTTGAATCTTTATCATCCGTTTGTTATACCTAGTTTAAACATAAGAACTTCAAGTAAGCGTATTTTCCAAATATCATACTTTTTAGAAGGTGAATATTTAGTTTATTCCACTCAGTTTTTATTTCGGTTTAAATTTTAGGAACGCGTCTCAGAAAATTATCTTTTTCGCACACTTCATTCATAATTCTGTCGTTAAAAGGTCGCGCTCTAGCCGCTGTGAAAAAGATATTTCCATAGCACACACTAGATTCACATTCTTCATGGCAAAGCAAAAGACCATTATGAAAACGCCACAATCTTATAAACATAGATAAATGATTGGTCTGGGCATGATCTGGGTATTGGGCTTCACTCGACTAGATACCGCGCTATCAAAAAACAACAGCTCCGAAAATGCAGCAACTCATTAATGTAGTGTCTGTATGTCAATTTGCAATGATGCTATCAAATGTCATTAATCGTGTAACCAGCTGCTCAACTGCTACCCAAGTAATAGGGAAAATATTGTGGGTTATTAATTATATTAGTTATTAATTAATATGTACCAGGTTATAAATGTAGCTCATAAAATACTTGAAACTTTAAATTAAATACTTAAACTTTAAACCGTAGATCAACACGGGTAAAACCGTGAGATATTGCTAGTAAATTATATACTAAAACCTTCTCAGAAAATGCGTATTTACGCATTAATATGCGCGAAGACCCTATCCAATTCGGATCTATAGCTTTGAGATTATCATGGTCAAAAATGCATACATACAAATCAAACTGAGAATATCCTTTTTGAAGTGTGTTTAAAGACCGACTGTGCAGCCGGAACAGCAGCAATATAAAAAAAGAATAAACTATAAGTATAAATAAATGTTTCTTAATACGTTGGTTAAGATGTGTTTATAAATATAAAATGAATTGTTTATTTGTCATCTTAACCCTAAAACATATTTATTTTATATATTATTATTTTATATACTATTATTTATTTTATTGTATTGTCTTATTGTTACTAACATAGCATTTAAGTCAATTAACTAACACATCTATGGACTATGTCTGAAAATAAACGATTTTTATTTTTATTTTATTTTTATTTTTATTTATTTATTATTTATTAAAATAAATTAAATAATATGATAAAAAAAAATACACAACAAGTATGGTAGTTAATATGCTGAATTGTAAAACTGAAAACTGTGTAAATAATAAGAGTCAGTTTACAAGCGAATGTGTTTAAAAAAATGTTTTTTTAAATAATAACAGGATATCATAAGAATTAAGGTAGATTACAAAGATAAACGTTGAATAATATAAAACTAGGTCAAGTTTAATAGTAAGTTTAAATAACAGGTTCAATAATAAAATACACTAACAATAAATTCACATTATACATAAAAATCTCAACCATAGGGACTTGATTCTTGCATACACGGCAACACCTTAATGACGTTTAGGGTTCATGTTATTTTATGTTGAAATTTCGAAATTTTACTATACTCATTGATGTTATGTGATCCTAACGTTCTTGTTATTTATTGTTGTATTATTTCACTACATAAACTGGAATTTTACTTTCGATTAACACAGAATTTTAATAAAATATTTACTACGTACACTCCATACACAACTGTCAGGTTGACTGACTCGGTGAAAGCTTGGGTATGCCAATTTCGGCATAGTATTTGTTGCCGCATTAGACAAGTATGCCGGCGGAATCTAGTCGAGTGAAGCAAGATCAATCATTCATCTATGCTTACAAAGTCGTAATTATTTTATATGGTTATTCAAATAGATAAATGATTGGTCTCGCTTCACTCGACTAGATACCGCGCTGTCAAAAAACAACAGCTCCTGCTCATTATTGTAGTGTGTGTATGTCAATTTGCAATGATGCTATCAAATGTCATAAATCGTGTAGCCAACTGCTCAACCGCTACCCAAGTAATAGAAAAAAAATTGTAGGTTATAATTAATATGTACCAGGTTATAAATGTAGCTCATAAAATACTTGAAGAAGATACACTTAATTAAATGAGAATATGGGCCCAATTCTGGCGTGCCAATTTATATCTAAATCTAACTAAAATAAGATATAGAGTTCTCAAATTTAATTTGGTATTCTGTAATGACACACTATCACTAAATTTAAAATTGACGTCGCTAAGTTATTCAACTTAGATTTAGATGATTTAATGGTATTCTGAAACGCGTTCTAAATGTCATATTTTCTCTAAAATTAGAAATGTCACACTAAATTTAATAAGGAGAACACAGAATATGCTTCTAGTTGGAAATTGTACAAGTGTAGATCCACACAGGTAAAACCGTGAGACATTGCTAGTAAATAATATACTAAAACCTTCTAACAAAATGCGTATTTACGCATTAATATACGCGAAAACCCCATCCAATTCGGATCCGTAGCTTTGAGATTATCATGGTCAAACATACATACATACAGATCAAACAGAGAATATAATTTTTTGAAGTCTGTTTAAAGACCGACTGTGCAGCCGCAACAGCAGCAATATAAAAAATAGAATAAACTATAAGTATAAATAAATGTTTCTTAATACGTCAGTTAAATAAAACTAGTTTTTTACGGGTTAATGCACGAAACTTTATTTATTTATTGACGTTTGTAAAAAACTAGTTTTATTTAATGAGTGATGTGCGTGAAAACCTAAGAAACAAATATACGTCAGTTAACTTAATTTGTGTTTATAAATATAAAATTAATTGTTTATTTATCATCTTAACCCTAAAATAATTTAAATAATATGATGAAATTAAAAAAAATACACAACAAGTATGGTAGTTAATGTTAATGTTATTAAAAATAATAACAGAATATCATAGGAATAAAATGTAGATTACAAAGATAAACGTTGAATGATATAAAAGTAGGTTAAGTTTAATTGCAAGTGTAATAGTAAGTTTAAATAACACAGGTTCAATAATAAAATACACTAACAATAAATTCACATCATAAATAAAAATCTCTAACATAGGGACTTGATTCTTGTATACGCGGCAACACCTGAATAACGTTTAGTGTTCATGTTATTTTATGTTGAATTTTCGAAATTTTACTATACTTATTGATGTTATGTGATCCCAGCGTCCTTGTTATTTATTGTTGTATTATTTCACTACATAAACCGGAATTTTACTTTCGATTAACACCAAATTTTAATAAAACATTCACTACGTACACCCCATACACAACTGTCAGGTTGACTGGATCGGTGAAAGCTCAGGTATGCCGATTTCGGCATATTATTTGTTGCCGCATTGGACAAGTACGCCGGCGGTATCCAGTCGAGTGAAGCGAGACCAATCATTTATCTATCGTCATTCCATTACATTATTACACTTGAGAGCAATGAATCCGGGTCACTTAAAGAATCCTAAAAATCTCGCAAACTAAGAATGCTAGTAATGCTAATGCTTAATGAAATAAATTCTAATTAATAGACAATTAAATACTCCTTAAAAATGAAGATACTAAAACTTCTTAGTTTTTGTACAGTTATATCATAAAAAAAAAAATGGTTGCCTGTAAAGTCGGTTTTACGGGCGAAGATTTTACGTGACAACGTCTTTTTCTCGGTAGAATATTTATTGATATGAATATAATTAAATTGCACAATAGGAACAAGGAATTGAATGAAAATAAGAATTGCACAAATTTTAACTATAGAAATATATTTTGTTTACTAAAACATTGTACATGTAAACTTAAACTTAACACGAGAGACTC